TCTACTTGAAAGGCTTTTCTTCAAACAACCTTCCTGGTGAAAAATGTGGGTAGCAGAACAAAGGGAAGCATATGAATTTTCTGCTTTAACAATTAGAACTTTATGGGATCTAGGCTAGAGCAGATTCTACCTCTTTTTTAAAAACCAGTATCTTGTTTCCTGGGTGCCAAGATAATTCAGAAGAGTCCACAGCATGCCTCTGAAGTCTCTATAAGCTTGGAATTACATATCCAGTATCCATGAAAAGTAACTGAAAGTTACTGCAAGCCAAAAGAAAGGCTAAGAGATGGGGCAGAGAATAAGTTAAGGTTGGAAGCTAAGAAACCTTGGCCTGGGTTTTTTTTCCTAAATTGGATTAAACTATGTCCCTGTTAATACAATCTGAAACTCTGTCAGAGTATTTCTACTGGACTCCTGAGACTGAGATCCTTCCGGCATGAAGTGTAATATTTTGCAGCAGCAGCTGACTTCTCTATCATTCAAGTTTCAGAGATTGCCCTGCCTTGAACAAAGTAGCCACTAAAACCAAGACAGTTTTGTAGGTGGCTGAATACCAATTTTCTTTTAAATTTGAATGTTTACCCAGAGAGAGGAAAACCAAGACAAAATCTTTCCCCATGCCTCTGCTTAGCATTTTGTGGAATGTAGAATTGGCCACCCAAGAAGAACTACCTGTCCTTAGATTTTGCTCAGACTCCTTGTATTTTTAAGCAGAAGAATGATCACACAGATCCCATAGATTCTGCAAAAAAAGGCAAGAAGTGCTCAGCCCCACCAGTCCAGAGGGACAGACTATTGAAATTTAACTGCTGTGTCAGGTCACAGGCACTGTGTAAAGCCCACATTTCTTGATCACTGTTCCTGTTGCCTTTTGTTACTGCTTAAAAGAAAGCTGCATTGAGACAGGTGCTCCTTCTCAGTGCCAGCTCTGCCATACATTCTCTCTGCTTGAGTTTTCTCAAAGTCTTGGGGTAATGTAAACATCACAGTGGTGGTTTTCACTGCTCTAGAGACCAGATTGTGAAAAGAATTCAAGCATTGCACATAAGAATGCTGAAAAACTGGAATATTAAAGGAAATTCAGTTTGAACCTAACTGGTTTCAGAAGAACTTAGAGGATTTTCCATATTAGTGATGGACATACAGCTTAGATAGCCTGCTTGGACCTGTTTGGACCATTGTGTGGGAGGTTGCCAGTTAAGAACACAGCTGCTTGTGGTGGCCTGAAAAGAGTGAGTTGATTTTTGAAATTCAGCCCTGGAAGAGGGCTGCTCAACTTTAAGAACTTGTTCTGCCTTAAAATTCCCCCTTACCCCTCAAAGCTTCTCCTAGGAGGTGAAATTTCAGAAATTGTGTATCAATGTTACAATTATTTAAGTGTCTTTCCATTTTTGTCAGACCTAAAACTCGTAATTCTTTTTCCTGTGATCCCAGAGTTTGTAAGTCTATTTCTGTCTTTTCCCAATATCTGAGTTTACTTTCCTAGACAAATGCAACAGCATGTACCAAGCACAGTAACTGCACGATTATTTACTTAGGGCTTTGCCTTTGCTGAAGTCCTTTCACTGGGGCTTATGTGCTTAGTTCAGTGAAGTGTGGTTTAGCAAAGTACACTCAAACTGTAAATATAACGAAAACTTTATCCTACCATCCCTCTCTTACAACATAAAATAATATTATCATAGAACATATTTATATCAGAAAACAAGGTAGTTATCAGATCAGAAACTCCTACCTTGTGTTATTTTGGGAAGAATTCTTCTTGGTTTGAATGTGGCTTTCCCCCTCTTTCTGAATCCCATCTGCCTTTACCTCAGATAGCAGCAGTGATTTTTTCCATATTGCTAACAAGCATTTTCCTCTCTGCCCCTGGTATTCTCAAAACACTTGTCCAGTAACGCTTCATAAAACATCTGTGCTCACTTTATCAGCAAATCTTCTGTGAATTCCTTTTTAACTGCAGATGGCAGCTCTCATTGTATTGCTGAAGAGTCCTACGAAAAACACTGAGTTTCTAGTGCCTGTCCAGGTAACTACAAGGAAATTGTTTGAGATTCTTGGAGAAAAAGATGACAACTGGGAGTGAAACCCATGTGATCTTGGGCAACAAGAGCTGGGACCTTCCTTGGGTGTTGATGCCTTCAAAGGCTATGTGATTGGAAATCCTACTTTCCTCCCAAGAAGGCTTTCCCATTTCTCAAGAAAAAACTAAAACTGTTAAGTACTGAGAGAAGAAGAAAAAGAAACAAACAAAAAAAAAAATAAATCCATTGCCATTGCTTAAAGTGTGAGGCTAGACAGAAAGTACAGAGGAGATGAACCCAGGATTCAGGCACAAAGATATGACATGGGACTCTTGCTGCTGCTCCCTTTTAGCGAGACTCCAGAAGACAAGGCAGTTCCTGGAGAATGGAGTCATTCTTTCAGAATGAAAACAGAGTCATTCTTTCAAGACAGAGAAAGTCAAGTCAACTCCCTTCCAGCATTAATGCTTTTTTTAAAGCTGCCAGGATCCTTTGTAGTAGGTCTTGTTTGGAAGACAATGGGATCAGAAGGTTCCACCATCTCCTGAATCCCTAATGAGTTGACATCACTCTTTCAGAAAGGGTGATGAGAGACATTTCTTCAGGTTTTTTTTCTGGGTTTTACAGAAAAAAAAATCTATTTTTGTGGCCTGCAGACCCAAAAGCTCTTGCTTAAGGAACAAAATGCTTCCTGAGATCAGTCAATGTAAATCTCAGTTTACTTCCAAGAGGGTTGTGGAGATGAGCAAAAGTGCTGCTCACTGCCACTACTACTCTTTGTAGGGATACAGAGTTAAGACTTTTTTTATTCTTTTCTCTCCCAAATACTATTGGTGGATTTCACCACTAGAGAAAATTAAATCTGTTTAAACTTTGTCATCCAGTTCCACTGGAAATGCAGGTGCAAACTTAACTGCAAAGGTGACTAAGACTGCAGAAAGGGGTGGAGATTTGACATGTACAGTGTGACCCAGAACTGCCAAGCACTTATAAGAATTCTCTGACAGTGTCTGCTTGTGAACCTGCTCATGGGCAGCACTGACCCAGCACCAAAACTGAGAGGGCTGCCATAACCCAGAGCATTGTGACAAACAACACCTTGTGCATGCACGTAAATTCCTGCCAGAACATTTCTTTTTCCCAGTGCTTACTAAGAGCATATAAACATCTGTGAGGAGAGACCAGCATTCATTCTCGTGATAAAACACTCTACATGTTGAAATGGAAACTCCCTTTTCAGGCAGCTTGCTTTTGTGCTTTGAAGTGACTTTACATTCTTTGCCATAGACTGCCCTGCAGTGGTGAAGCCAAAATCTGCAGCCTTGTTGACTTTGATAAAGGATCTTTAAACCTCCTCATTAAGAAGTAGTTTGCCCATCACTAGAAGGGACAGAAAGGGCCTGTGCAAACTACAGTCCAAATGAAAAATAAATTAAACAAGGGAGATTTTGAATTGCAGAGTAAATATAGTGTGCAGCAAAATGTCAGTAGTGACTAGTAATATTTTGTCTATTTTTCATAGGAAACAAGGCAGATTTGATCACACCTTGCAATCTATTTGTCTCCAGAAGTTATTTTGACTTCAGTCAAATTTAACTGCAAAAATTAAGATATCAAAGACAGTTAAATGTCAATAGATTTTGAGAAAAGCAGCTTTTGCAAAGGCTTAAGGAAATGCATGGTTCTAGTGTCAGCACAGAAATTGCTGGATAACAAAGAATCCACAGAGGAGAGTGACTCTGTAAGTGCCCTGGGAGAAAATTCTCAGTCACATGTCACAGTGAATGTAGAAATGGAAATCCTTAGGAACCCATACTAAAACATAAACCAGGCTTCATTAGTTCTGCAGCTTGCTCTGTAAATGGACAAAACTTCCTTCTTGTTAGGTCAGCTATCTCTCCAACTCCAGACAAATTGGCTCTCCACTCACAGCATTGTAATGCTGGAAAAAATGTGGAGTTCAATCTCCTGTGCATTCCTATCTGTGTCTGCCTTCTATACTGCAGCACATTTGATAGGCTACTAGTTACAAAAAATGGTGCCACCAATCCTTTAGGTAGCAAAGATGCCAGTATAGAGGTTGGCTCTTGCTCAAACTCCCAGAAGGATAAAGCACAATTAAGATTCCATTAACAGAGACAAAATAAAACCAAAAGCAATTTTTTTCACATACAACTATGGTTTGTATCCTCATTGTTCTACAGATTTCAAGAGAAATGAACATACTCCAGCTAATCTGCTTCATCTCCCCCTACAATAAAATAAACAGGCACTCGTTTAGATGTGTCCTTTGTTGTGAGACAAATTAATATAAAAAATGGCTATTGCTTTCCATTTTCTGCAGAGGAAGTCTAGGATAACTAGCTTAGTGATGGGTATCTGTTTTCAAATGTTGGGATTCAGAGAGCTCTTACTGCAGTGGTAGCTATCCTGAAAGCACTGTGAGTGAACTTTGCATGGCTGAGGGAATACTTTTTTAGTGAAAATACATAATTGTGATGAACTAAGACAATTCTACGATACAGAACCCTGCTAAAATAAGAGCTCCTGCTGAACTAGAAGTTTCTCCAAGTCATCTGAATCATTTCATGGTCATTGTTCATCTTTGACTTTGCTTTGCTCTGGCAGACAGCATCATCTTCTCTCCCACCTTACACATTGGATCCTCTGAACAGCACAATCTAAACAGTTTTCAAGGAGCCAGGAATAGATAGCCCAAACATTTAGGAAATCACTTGACTTCCCGTAACTTGAATAAGACATTTCTTCTCTCTTCAAAATCAAGACTCATCAAGACAGCACAACAACAAGTACAAAAGCTGTGCTTTTTGAAATGTGCTTTTAATCATTCAGAGAAAATAAACAGATTTTTAAAGGACCCAAAAGGCTGTGCACTTGGAAGAATACAAATTTGTGTTCTTATTTTGTGCACAAATAAATAGGGCAGTGTTCAAATCAATCAGAGAACAAGCAGGATACAGTTACTGGGAAAAGTAAAGTTCAAAAATTGTCAAAGACAAGAATGGTTCATAGTCCTTTCAGTTAATGATGCCAGGTTTTTTCTGCCTTCATTTTGACGTTAAGCTGATGGCTCTCTTGATCCGCTTCAGAGCGCTCGCCTTGTCATTTTCTTCCTTGCTCTGCAGCTGTTTGGACCGTGGTATGCTGCATTCAGAGTCTTGACAGCTGCAGCTCTCCACATATACGTATTTATGTGACATGGCGTGCCCACCGGGGCATTTCAGTACCACGTGCTTCTCAACAGTCTTTGTTTCTCTGCAGCAGGAACAGCTGTGGTCCATAGAATTGGCCTCAGCAGAGTATCTGTTAACATGGAAATTGGAAACGTTACTCTGTGCCAGAAGCCAACATACAGGAGAGGGTGAAATCAGGTATAGAACTCCTGTGAGAAGAGCCATTAGCAGCTGTGGCTAATGGAAGTGCTAAGTTCATCTGACAGAACAGTGATTTATAAGATACATATCCCAATCAGAGCAGTGTTAACAGGAAGGGGAAGCAGCATCTCTTTCTGTTCCTATCTCACAGCAAAGTATTTTTTGCAGCCTTGCGTTCATCAGCTTCCTGAGCGCCATTCCTAACTTGAAGAATCTGTCAATATCAAGCTATAGACTGTGACAAGATCCATCTTTTTCTTGTATTTGCATGTAGAAGCAACCACAGCAAGACCCAAAGATGATCAGGAATTTCAAAACACTTACAAAACTCCCTGGCTTATCAGAGTTCCTTTTGATACTGAAGATCAATTTTCTCCGTGTATGGTGCACTGTGGCACTTGTGACAGTGATAGGCAGTAAGTGACAGTTTCGTTGGTAAGTTAGAGTTGTGTTTTTCCAGTGTATTAGTAGCTCACTACCAGATGTCCTTATGGCCACCTTTTGTTATAGTCTCTCATTTCAGAGAAAAATGTGCAGTCAAGTTACTCACTAACACCACACCTAAAGCACTCATTTTCTCATTTCTTCATTGCATAAAAATTATGCCTGTTTGAATCTTCCTTTAAAAGATGTATGCGTATTTCATTTTAGGTGTTAACTATGGAGAAGGAGCTTTTTCACCTAAAAGCTTCAAGTCTGGCTGCTCTCTGGGCTCATTCCCACTACAGTAAATAATCCATGTTCTTTTGTGACGATTTCTAGCCAAGGTGGTCTGGCATAACGCCAGATGTTAATGGATGAATAATCCTTATCACTGCTGTCTGAATCCCAAGGAAAATTAATACATTTTTCTACTTTGTATTAAGACACATCAACTGCTCAGCCACAGATTCCATGATTTTATGTTCATGATTTGGAGAGCAGACAGTTCCAAGTCTTCTACCATTCTGTAGCCTACCTATTTACTGTTCCTTTTATATAAACAAGCTCAGCACCAAGAGAACTTAAATCTCATTGTCTGGTGAGTTTACTTACAGCGAGAAGGTTCCACATGTTCCCTCACATTCAGTCACATCAACTCTGTCCACGGAGCGGCAGCCATTGAAGACGATAAAGTCTTTCCTGCGGCGCACAGAGCACGGTGTGCGGCTGTCCAGAGGGGCACCTACAGGCAAAGATCAGAAAATACTTTCAGTGAAATAGCTCCAGGAGTCCCTCGCACCTCAGCATTCCCTGGGCTTCACTAGTGCACTCAAAGAACTGTCTTAAGTGGTCTTTCTGCTTCAGCTTAAACTTTTCCAGAGAGATGGGACAGTGAAGGCTTGGAATGATAAATATAAATATTAAAATATCAATTTAAATACAAATACATCTGGAAAATGGGTTAATTTCAGAAGACAATTCATTCTGTGTATCGTTGATTCAGATACACTGGCATACTTACAGGTTTTGCAACAACCATTAGGTAGGTACGAAATGGTTCCCTAAAAGAACAAAGAAACAGAAAAAAATTGTATTACTTCCCTATATTAAAAAGGCTTTGAGGCCAGCAATCCTCAGTGGCTAGAAAAAAACAGAGAAACCTGTGGCACTGATCTGAATAAGCATTATTAAGTCTCATCACAACTTAAAATCTATCAATTTACAAAGGATTGTGAAAATAAAAATAATTCTTTGAAGGAAGTCTACTGTTAATATCATGCATTTTTTCCTCAGAAACAATTCCAACAAATACTTTCTCGGAGTCCTCTGTATTTGAATGGGGACTATGCATGGTGTTATGGGCAGCGTACTGACTGAACAGCTTGTGTTTCTCTAACCTTCAAGGAAACCTAGTTCTTGCTGAGACAGAAGCCCTAACAAAGCAGTCAGCAAAGTTTCACTGTCTCGGTGCTGACCTGTATTTGGGCTACAGTGAGGCACCAACCACTTAAAAGCCTTGAATTTGCACCCAGGTATCTTATTTTGTACACTGTATAGGGCTGTGCATGGATGCATCTGGAACTTTTGCCTTAGGACTGAGAAATTACAATGAAAGATCATCAGAGCTAAATTTTACTTTTGTTGTTAGTTAGATGGCTGAACTAAAATCAAGTAATCTGTGTATGGAGTAGAGGGTAAATTTTCCATTTTTACTTACAGGTTTGCAGCTCTCCTCATTGAATGCTGGACAGGTAATCTCAGATGTGGAAGAGATAAGCTGGTTGTGGACATTTATGCAGCTATAAATGGTGCAGTTGTTGTGAGGATCATTTTTAAACTCTCCAGGCTGCAAGTGAAATGCAAAATGGAATAAGGAAAGCTGAAGGGAGCTCAGACAGAAATTTTCTTGCCCTCTGACAATTACTTTCATCTTGTTCCTCAGCCAATTATTTTTAGGTTAACAGCCACTTGGGATGCAGATCATTACATGTATTGGCAAGTGCCACACGTGGAGAGAATCTTCAGTTTTACATGGCATTTTCCTTGAGAAAGAAAAATGTCTCTAAAGTACATAGAGTACCTTAACAAAACCATGCATGCTAATGGATTTTGTCTTTGGAAAGCTAGACTATTTTATGTTAAGAACAACCCTAAACCTTCATCCTACAGGGACAATAACATTGTTTCATATGCAGGCCTTACTAGTATTTTTCAGCATACAGAAATCAAATAACATAGAAAACCCCAAACTTCCAGACACAGGAAGAAAACCCTTTCCAATTATATTGAATTTGTAATTCCAGGAAGGGCCTTCCAGAAAATGTTATTCTATGAGACCTACCTTCAGGTCAAAAAATTGTAGCTAGGTTTTGCTTTAGATGAGAATTTGATCTTTCGGGTGCAAAGTTACACTAAAGCCCTATCTCTGGCAAGGAGATTTTGTCTTTCTGGAACAGGCAGCTTTACAGCTTTGGTGGAGACATAAGATGTAGGGCATACTTACACTCAAGATGAGTTGGTAATTGTTTGCTGCGTGTATAATACACTTGGTCTGCACACATCTTCCACAGCATTCACCTTTCACTGGTTTAAGTTCATATCCCTAGAAATTAAAATTAATTTAAAACAATGATAAATGAATATGATTTATCACTTTGATAAATGGATTTTTGAGAAATAAATAAAAGCATACTAATCCATTAATTGATTATGTTTTGAAGTGCACTCTAGATTTGTGCCTGTGTTCCAACCCAACGAAGAAAAGTAATAAAAGCAGGTTATAGATGGTGTAAACTGAAGTATTATAATATGTCTAATAATCAAATATCACTCTATAAGGTGGTCTACAGAAATTTTCCAGCTAATCCTGCCAATGTGAACTGAATACAATCAGTCTCAGGCAGCAGATTGCCCAAAGTACAGTTGGTATCTATTCTGGAATTGGTCTCTGGTTTTTGATTCCCTGTCCTTTGTTTAATACCACTCATTGATCAAAATGATTTTCACATACATGGGTATTTTGGGGTCTTTCTTTAAGTTTGCCACTTACAGGTTCACAGTGTATGTTGCAGGGGAGACGTTGACAGGAGATGATATTCAGTTGAGTGCTGATGTTAACATCATTTGTGCACACACAATCCTGACACTTGTCAACGAAGACTGAGGAGTTGGGCTACAAATTTTAAGGGAAAAAAGTATTAATGAGATATTACATGTTTGATAGACTTTTATTAATTTTTTTTAAAATCAAGCAATCAAAAAGGAAAAAATTGTAAAGACAACTGGAAAGCTATTTGGCTAGCCAATTATGAAGACAACATTTTAAATACTGGATATAATTTAATGTGCACCTTTATTAAAGTCCTGTATAGTAATGATAATAGATACTGATATTAAAAGAACAGGCACAATTACTAGACCCAAGAGAATTTATTAGAAATTTAGTTTTGGTTAGAATAATACTTGTTTACATATCTTTAAATTTTTGAAAACAGAGCCTTAAAACTGCAATAGTGTGCTGACAGTAAATGCAGACTGACTTTTTTAAATGCCAGCACACTTAACCCAAATCTCTCTTTGATACTGTCATATATGCAGCTGTTCAATTTCTTTCTTACACAGGAAACCTTTCAGAAAATATTTAGGCTTTATGAAATTGATGAACTCCTGACAGAAATTAGAAAACTTCTAAAGTATTGATTTTACTGGATAAACTTCTTCATAGCCACTTCTGATTAAGTATACTTATTAACTGGAAGAGTTGAAACAGGAACTTACCAAGAACTCAGCACTCTCATGTACGCAAACTCCCTTGGGAACTGTTAATAAGCAAGGAGTTAGATGTTTAAATAGGAAAAAAGAATAAAAAATGTCTTCACCCCACTCTAACCAAACTCATTTCTTCCATGATGAATCACAATTCATACGGTCAAAGACATTGGTTACTCCCCAATTCTGGTAGCAGATAGAATGTGTATAAAGTATAAAAATTAATGCTGCATGTGCAAAAAGGGGAAGATTTATCTCAATATGCACAGTCCAGTTCATAGCCAAGAATGTCCACTTAACAGATACAAGTACTTCCTTGTTTCAGTTATCAAGAACTGTGTATCTGTCTTGTACTGGGGATGCTTTAGGGACTTCTTGCTAGATTAAGCTAAGACCATCATCCCAGTTAATTCTGCAGCTGTTCTACCATGTATTTATAATTGAGAAAATTGAACTTGAGTCACCTGAGCTATATCTGGTTTCCTAGTTTCATAAATATAGCACTAATAACCAATTTTAATAATAATGAATTAAATTATAAAGCGTAATGCTAAATTATGTAATAAATTTAACTATAAGGCTAATCATTGTAATATATTTCCAAGGGACTTACCACATTGGTACACAGGACAGCACTGACCACTGGGAATATAAGAATGAACTTCAAATCCCAGCGAGCACTTGGGGGCTTTAGCTGTGCACAAGCTTGTATTGCATTCTAAGGAAAAAAAAAAAAAAGAAAAAGAAGAATAAGCCAACAAGCACACTAAATCACAGCTACTAGAAATAAGCACCTATCAGAGCCTTTAGGATCAACTTCCCACTGCTACATAACAGTCCAGATTCTCTTCAAAGAAACAAATTGCAGGTAGGGAACACATTTTTCCTCCAGGCACTGGATATGGGGTACTGTATTAGTTTATGAATTTTCTTCTAATATGTAATTATCATGTTTTAACAAAGTCTCACTATTCTATGCAGAAAAGTAGGGAACAACTCCTACTCTCTCCAGGATTTTAGGCAACTGATGGAAAATACAATTCCACAGAGAATTCCATAATCTATCTGCATTTTGCTTCAATAAAATGTGGCCCTGAACTCAAGAACTATAGCTTGATTTGAGTCATATAACTTTAAATTCAGTTATACTGAATTTATAAATTTATATTCAGAATCATTGCAATATTAATGCGTTTTTCTTAGCACTGGGCAAGTTGATTTTAAAAAGCATGAGGAAAGATACTATTTTGTCACTCCCTGCTGCAGATCTCTGGTGCTAAGGCCATTCAGTCTCTTTTCCTTTCTATTTCCAAGAGGTATAGAAAGACTAGAAACAAAAGTATAAACTCACTGCAAGTGAACAGTGGGCAGCAGGAGTCTTCAGGATTTACTTCAGTGACCTCATAGAAGCCTTCTCCATCACAAGTGACCTTCTTCTGTTCGCATTTATGAGGCTCACACACAATGCCATGTTCACCTTCCAGGCAAATACAGTCCTGACAGTCCACTGTAAACTTTTCTCCAAACTGTCAATGAAAAACAATAAGATGAGTGATTGCATAGTAACCAATTAAAAGGAAAAGAAGTAAAATAGGAATAAAAAGTTGGGAGATGACAAAACAAGATTGCACCAGTGGAGCCTATTCTCCTGTCCCCACCCAAACTTCTATATGAAATCCAAAAGCATATGGCATCATACCTCTCTTGGGATCATATCCACTCCAACACAGCCTGGGAAAATACCAAAATAAATTTCCATTACCAGTCACATAACAGTAGGCATCCCTACTATACATTGTTTATGCACTGCATACAGTCAGATCTATGTTGCACACACGAGAAGGAAACAACAAAGAGGAAACAAAGATGCATCCAATTGAAGCAGCAAAACTCACCGCAGGTTTTCACACAGACATCCACACCAGAGTCGTACAGCATGGTTCCATTAGGACAGAAACAGCCTTCCACTTGTTTAGTTGATGTTTCATTCTGTCCTCTGTGAGACAAAATGTTCAGAGGGGCACCATTAATGCCATAGGCATGTACAGGAGGATTGTGCCAAATAAACTTTCACTGAAAATACAGTGGCAAATGATATGCTCATTTGTGACTGTGGATTGTCAGTGATGGTGTTTGGTATAGCCACACAACACAAACAGTTCAGGCACCCAGATTTAGGATCAACAGAACAGTGCTAATAAATTAGTCAGTCAGTTTAAAACACGAGATTGAATTTGCTCATTCACCCATGCACTAGATATGACTGAATAGTTGTACAAGCTATAACTAACTGTGAAGGAATTTTTTACCTTGATTTGCAGGTCATCTCTTTAATAGGACCACATGCTCTGTATTCTTTACCAGGGGGACATTCATGAGCTGCAATGGAAGAACAAAAAGGAGGAACAGCTCAGTAACAATATAAAAGCCCCATGACCTTATGTCAAGACTTATTGTATCTATGACAATCTTGAGAAGCAAAGAGAAAACAATCCCAGATATCAGAATCATGTCTCTAAATAGAACAATTTTGTGCAATTTAGCCATAGATATATAGCTTTACACTTTACACTAAGATGATGAAGCCAAGAGTCTAGATATTAATTACAATTTTTTTCCATAATTTTAATCTCTTTTGCACAAGTCCTCAAAGGGGAGCGTACTCCTACCCTTTGTCCTCTTCCTACTACAGATGAAAAGTAATGCACCTGTCACATAATAGAGAGTGATCTGCTGATGCCTGCAAAGTGCAAAACTGCCTGCATACAAAAAAGTATGTACTGATACAGATGTTTCTGGCACAGTCAATACATGTATATTTTTGCAGGCCCATTTATCATTTCCATTGTTAAAAATGTTACCTGCAAAATTGCTTAAGGAAAGCAGCCACAGTGATTTATTGGTGTCTTCATTACTCTGAAAGCAGTGTGACATTATTGCTGAAACAGTTCCACATAATCTTCCTTAATAATTCAAGATGAATGGCCAGATACTTACAGCATACACCATTGGTGTGCTTTCTCCAGTCAATGCACACTCCTTGATCAGCACAGGTGGCAGCATAGATCTGCAGACTTGAGCATTCCAGGTCTAGGTTGGGAAGTACGCAGCTATCAAAAACGCAGGCTGCATAGTACTTTTCAGGCTGGACAAACCCATGGCATGGCTTGAACACACTAGAAACAGAAATATGTATCATTATTAGTTTATGAATGATCCATACATTTTTCACTGTACCTAACACATTATGATGTGGCAACAGTGGGAAGTTAAGGAGATGTGGACTATTGATGAGAGATTTGTGCTAAGACACTTATCCAGATTGTAACCTGTCAACATACTTTAACGTACTCCTCCTTCACCCACTAAACACTTAGACATGAACATTTTGAGTCCAGTAGCTGTATATTATTGGGTGTAACCATGTGCTATCTCTTTAAAGAGATTTTGATTCTTTTTCAGTTCTGACACCGGGTTCTAAAAATTAAGATCTCTGTTTTCAGTTGGACTCTGTTTTCTGCTAAATAAATGTGGGAAAGGCAAGAACATGGGACAGGGGAGGGCAGAGAATGTAGAAGAACAAGGGAACATCAACAAAGGTTAATGTAGCAGCCAGAGGGTTGAAAGAAATGGTCAGCAAAAAATAACAACCAGAAAAAGTAAAAGGAGTGGAAGCAACCAATAAAGATACAAGAAATGAGCAATAGTTAGAAAAACTTTCCATTGATGAATTAATCCTAAAATTTCTATTTAAATCAAAGACTAAAGGCTTGCAAAATCAAGAGGAATGTCTACCTTCCCAAAAGGAGCTCGCAGATGGCAGATTCTTTGCAAGGCTGTACTGGCGTTGTGCTAGGTGCACCTGTAGGAACTAGGCCTGGAGAGCACTGTGGTTTGGAAGGATCGACAACTTGCCAGTGATCTGCCATGGTTTCACAGTTTTCTGCAATGCTTCCATCTGGCAACATGCAGTCATCTGCCGTGTTGTTATTGCAAGTACCTGAGGGTGGTAAGGGGAGAAAGAACTCACTCACACATTTGTTAGGAAATTCCATTCATCTTTGTAACAGGGCTGTCATTGTGGTTTTGTGAGAGTACAAACATCACATGAGTAAGCCTTACCACACTGTCCCTGGGTGTTGTTGCCAAACAGGTGGTAAGGCATTCTGATAGAAAAGGACAAGCCATTGTAGGTGACATTCATTTTCAGCTCAGGAATTTCCACAACACGATTTATGCCTGACTCATAGATGCTCACGCCAAACTTCTTATAAGGCAAAGCCACGAGCTGGTTGTTCACTGTCACCTAATAAATAAAGGAAAACAGAAAAGAGGCATATCTTTAGTTTGACTTTTCAAAACAATTGACTGTTCCTTTGCTTTGCAGTGAGAATGTAAAGGTAAATAATATCCTTTTAATTTGTAACAAGTGTTCCTTTGTTTCCTTTGTTACTGGAAAGTCAAACTTTTCTTCTCTGAGCCACAAAAAGCTTATCAGCCTCTGACAAATGAGGTTAAAATTCAAGGTTTAAAACCAGCTAAATCCTTACACTCAACAGACTTATTAGAGTGACTATGGCATCAAGGACTCCTCTTGGAAGTTGAATATAAAATTCTCCTGAATTCATATGGTATAAAGTTTGAGCTTTCTTGTCATAAAAGGAACATGCTTGTAGGAAAATTAAATAAAACAAATAAGACAAAAACTGTATTATTTATTTAAATACAGTAGCCATGACATACCTGTGGAGCTAACACTACTACTTGTACTCAGCAATGGAAGATTTCTAAATGAGAGGTCTAGATGTTGTAAATTTTCAACAATATGTTGCAACTTGTAATATTCTCACACAGTAATGTACAAAAATAAATCAAACAAACAGTACAAAGCTACAAAAAGCCCCAAACACTCCTATCAGTTTTGAAACTCAAAAAGTGGGACATCACATTTATCAGTGAAATAAACACATAAATTCCCTATTCTGAAAAATTTAAAAGGTGACACAAGTCAAAGCTACTAATGGTATTTTAAAAAGTGCTTCAGGCCATCTTTATTGTTGTGTCTACCTTACGTTATCTCCTCCCATTCCACATTGTTTTCCTTTGTTATATTAATGTTAATTATAAATTAACTTATTTTATATCCTTAATTCTTAAAAATTCGTCCACACTTGTGTATTTAAGAGAGATCTACAAAGATTTGAGATTAAAAAGACAAGACGTTGTAGAATTTCTTTCCCCACATTTGGAATCAAAAAATGCTTTGAAGTAGTCCTTTGAAGTCCTTTGAAGCAGTCCAGTTTTATAAACCTAACTGTTACTGAATCTAAAACACTGATTTTTTTTTTCTCCCCCAAACATTGTGAATGTAATTATCCTGATGGTGCAGTATTAATATCTGAATCAAGAAATAAATGGTAACATTCTCTAGTACCTCTACTTGTAGAGTATTTGGTTGTGCTGTTGTTAGCCTCACTTCCTGAGTCTCGTGTCTCACAATGAGTGTTCGAGGACAGGAAACTACATCCCGTACATCACAATGGTAGTTATCAATGTAGACACCAAAGTTGTCAACTTTCTTATTGATCTCTTCCACAAGGACATATGTACAATTGCCTTGATAGCTGTAGTACAACCCATCAAAAGTCATGTAATGTGGATCTCCCCAGCCAGTGCAGTAGCCTAAAAAAACACACAGCTAAGTTAGGCTCTTATGGCAACATACAGAATCACATCAACCTACAAACAAAATCTATAGGTGTGGGAAACATCTCACTGAACTTTGCGCATTTTCATTTCAGTAAAGTCAATGTATATGTCAATGCATGAGCTCATTAGCTAGAAATTATCAATAAAAACCGGGCACTTTCAATGCACAATTCATCTCACATTAATGACAGACAACTGAGAATAAGATTAAGTGTACCACAGATATATATCTTTACCAATAGTATGAACAAGTAACATATCTATAGGCTTCTAGACTATAGATGTCTGCATCTGGACACTTAAATCCTACTTTGGGAGGCAAATTTACTCTGTTAACACAACAGTTACGTAGAAATAATGCAACTTAATCAAATCTCTCAATTAGCTAAGAAGAATCAACAAAGCACTGTAAACCAATCAACACTAGAAGACTGAGTCACAGCCTTGTGATGATACTTGTTCCTTGACAAATATTGTTGGTTTTGACAGTAATATTGTTCCCCGAGGAGATTAAATATACAACATAATATACACTTACAATCGCACTCCCAGTGCCAGCAGCATCCATCCTCATCAATGACTGGCACAGGAGAAAGTCCATTGGCACACGTGGGTTTCGGAGGTGGATTGCAGATTACTGGAATCACCTGGACTATGTTGTCTTCTATACATATTGCCTTTGTGCAGTTACAGAGCCACCATGACTCACCTTCCTGTATTTGAAAAGAGAGGGGGAGCCGGGAGACAGAAAGAAACCTTAGGAAGCAGTGAGACTGACAACAGTTATCTGAATATCTTCTGCAGGTTTTTAAAACACCATATATTTATTGACAATTTTTTCCCCACCAGAAATCTGAAAATAGGATGGAAGTGCATCAGTCAACACTACCTAGGTCTGCAAGATGAGCAAGGAAAATTGAGAGCTGCTAAGTGAAAAGCATTACTTACAAAAGTCAAGCCAGTAAATCAAAATGGGAATCACCTTTTCTAGTTTCAGCTATCAAAAGTGAGATGTTTGATCTAATCTCATCGCCTAGACATCCTCTCTAAGAAACAGTGAAAGACACTGATTAAAATGAATGGCCAATATATGATCAATTCMCATCCATGAATGCCTAGAACAGATTAACAGCTAAAGCTACAGTGAACACCTGCTGTTCAGGGAGAAATGTCCAAGGTGATTCTGTGCATGCATTGTGATTGTATGCAGGTTTTTTCTATCTTCTACCAGTTTTCCAGCCATGTATAGTTTTTATTCCAGCAGATCTACTGAGCAAGTTGGTAGGCATCTAACCAGTGAGGAGGCTTTAGATATGTGCAAGACACTAACTTGCCTGTGTCAGAGTGGAGGGCTAAAAAAAAAAAGGACTCAGAGTCAAATTTCACAAGCATTTGAATGCACTAATCTGTTTCACAGTCCTCTCCTGAAACCAGACTGTGAACAAGCATGACTCATTGCAAACTCAGACAAATTCAGCCCTGTGGTTTTTAGCTGGGCTGCACTGTAAACACACAAACTTTTACCCACTCTGGACCTATTCAAAAGCAGAAAATAAAAGATAGCTTAGCACCATTTAGCTCCTGGTTTCTTCTTCATCAAAGCTATCCTGCAATAAAGACAAACACTAAACTGTGATCTAACTCCTTGCAGAAACCTTTTTAAAAACTAACCTTGAAGAGCTAATAGCAGTATATAAGCCATCAATCCAAATATCATTGGAAGGCCTGATGATGCCCAAGAAAACATAAAAAAATAGAACAGATTGATACTTCCTTTCCTATCCAGATTAATGCCTACTCTGTATGTTACTAACATTGAAGTTATGTGTCTAGTCTTCATCCAAAGCAGAATGAAAGTGTGAAATCTACTCACCTCATAAGATTCATCAGGGAAAATAGTACAAGTTTTTTTAGGAGTGGTTGGTGTTAGACTTGTAGTTGTACTTGAGCCATTAACTGGAGGAGTGGTACTGTGTGTAGAACTTCCTGTAGTGGTGACTGCAGTRGATGTTGTAGTAGGCCCAGATGTAGTAGTTGAGCTAGGCGGAAAGGTTTTGAAGGTGGTGGTGGTTGCATTGATTGTGGTAAAACTACTGGAGGTCGTTCCTAAAGTGGTGGTAAAGGTTTTTGTTGGAGTAGTACCAGAGGTGGTGGTTGACACAGGGGTGGTTGATTCTGGTGGCGGAGGTACAGTAGAGCTGGAAGTAGACTCTGGGGAAGATGGTCCTGAAGTCGTGGTGGTGACAGCAGGTGATGTTGTTGGAGTAGTAATAGTTGCAGAGGTTGTCATTGGGGTACTTATTTCTGTTCCAATTGTGGTGGTGTGGGGAGTGGACACTGAGGGTGTAGGGCCTGAAGTGGTGGTCTTGGTGGTTGATTCTGTGAAAGGTGGTGTTGCTGTAGGGCTGCTTGGTCCTGAGGTTGTGGTGGTGCTGGGGCTGGAGGTGATATGTGGTTCTGTTGGAGGGCTCGGGGTCCTAGCGGTAGTGGTCTCAGGGCCAGGTGTTTTGGTTACTGGTGTGGTGCTGGTGGACCTTGAGGGTGTGGGGCCAGAAGTCGTGGTTTTGGTGGTTGATCCTGTTTTAGTGACTTCAGAGGTGGTAATTGTCACTGGGGTTGTTGACACTGGCAAGGTTGACTGTTGACTACTGGAGCTTGGAGTAAACCCTGTACTTGTCTCCATTGTTCTAGTTGTTGACAGTGGCGTAGTTGAAGGAGTAACTGGAGTGCTTGACTCTGTTGGTCCAGTTGTACTCTCTTTAAGACAGGAAGAAAAGAGTATTTGAAACAGGGAAATTGCATTTTCTTCCTAATGTCATCTTATTTTCTAATAAGCATACAAGTTCAACAAGCCTAAGCATAGGGTCTTTAGACAGAAATAAAGCAGAAATAGTTTTATTAATTACTTCAGAATCACTGAGGAATTATTAAAAAAAAATCTCCTACATCTTGCAAAGGAGACATTGATATAAACACTTTATCAACAGTCAGTGCCAGAGGAAACATTTCCACAGTGTTAAAACTTTATACTTCAGAGAAGAGTTCAGCAGTCCTACATCCAGGGGAATCCACTGAGTAGATCAATGAACTCTGGTTAATTCTGTATTGTTGTCATATTATATTGTATGGAAAGACCATTGTTCTCTGTGCTGCTTCATGTGGCATGTTCATAGCACCACTGATTTTGCTCAGAGTCATTTGATTCTACATTTGATTCAACTGAGCAGCTGCTAGAGCAGTCTATGTTCCATTTCTAATGCCCAAGGCTTTAAAACTCCTCACCCACAAGCTATTTTGGGGTGCTAGGAACCCCAAATTCACTTTTCTGCTTTTTCACATAGCCAATTTTCATTATAGTTGCTAATGGAGACTTCTTTAAAATAGTTTTTGATTAGGATATTAGAAAATGTTCATGATTCTCACAGGCCAGCCTCAGAGCCATATGTTTGTGCTTTTATAGTATAAGTGACAGTAGAGAGAGAAGCACTGTGTACATAAGAGTCCAGTAAAAATGCTAGAGGAATTAAGACACACTGTTTCTGCCCACAAAACCCACAAGGACAGTCCTTCAACAAAAACTAATTAATATCTGGGTGAGGACAGGCAAACCCCTTCATGTAGTTCATGTACTTTAACAGAGGCAGAACAACTGGGACAGTAGGGGAAATGACATTGCTGCTGAAAGGTTAGCTGGGATATTTTTGAAACATAATCAACTATCACTGAGTATAGAAACTAAAACACATGTTGAGATGCCAATGAACCCTGCTTTCTAAAATGAACAAAGGACATGAAATTCAGAGAATTACTTATTGCTTCTGTGGGTGGACCCGATGGGGGTATGGTGATAATACTTCCAGTGGTTGAGGTGGGTGTYGATGATCCAGTACCAGTGGTTGTTGTGCTCGGAGGGCTGGTGGTGGTGGTGGGAGTCWCYGGTGTCGAGGGAGTGGTTGTTGATTTTGGTGTGCTCGGAGTAGATGGAGGTGTGCCTGTTAGAAACAGCAGGGACAGAGAAAACAAAGGCACAAAGRCATCAGTGGAATAAGAGCTGAACAGAAGCTGTGCATGAGGCAGCTGYCACAGATCTAGAGAGGTCAGCCCACCCTTAAAGCAGAATCCTTGACATTCATGCACATGCAGGGTCACAGACCTCCCCTCTCCTAGCAAAGAGACTGGGGATGGTGCTGGAAGGTGCTTCTCAAAAAATCAGAGAGATCTACCAATAGGTAAGAGATGAGGAGAAGTAGTCATTTTTTATCTTGATGGGCCTTTCTACCTCTGTGTCATTATCTAGAACACCTCACTAAATCCTGGGACAAGAGCTGAGAGGGGAAGCTGTGATAGAGAAGGAAGCACACACAGGAATATGTTCCTGCCTGATTGGTATGTGGTTTTCCCAATGYCACCCCGATAAAGCGCTTCCCAGAGTACTAGTGGATCTTGTCAGCCAAGAACCACACTTCACAGAAAGTTGCAGTCTGCAGAGTGAAACTCTTCCCAGAATCGTATCCATCCCTCCTATATATGTAACAGCTGACAAGTATTAGCACAGACAGGGCAAAGGAATGGCAGGCAGGGAAGAAAGTCTACACAGCTATGTCCAAACAGCTCTTAAAAAGCTACTGCCAAAAAAACTGAAGCCATGCCAMAATTGCACAACATATGACCAGTGACTACAGGACTACAGTGAAAAGGTCCAGCAACAGCAAAAGCAACATTTCCCATCAGTTCAAGATCTGTCTAATCTGGGCACCAGCATCACCCACTTCTTCTGAGCCTTTTTGAGTGAGGGAAGCTAAGACCTTTCCCCAGAACCCCTAAATCCTTGCTCCTTCTTAAATAGCCAGAAGAAAGGCAAGTTTTAGGCAAAGGCTGTTCCAGGAATGCCCTGCAGTTACAGCCATCCCTGA